CAGCAATCTCACTTACCTCGGGAATGATCCAGAGCCAGCGATGGGGAGACTCAGGTGTGCTAATGTTGACGTTAGCACAAGAGGAGTCACTCCGTAAGGACGTTTATTCACCCAGACTCTCTTGTCACAGAACAGCTCATGATTACAGACGTAGGAAGTTCACAGCTTTCTTTGGGTGCACTTCCTTACTTAGTCAGTATTTCCCATTCCCTAAGTGGTTGATCTCCAAACAAAATTCCCCTCATAAATCCCATGTCATCAAATTCCAGTCTCAGACACATACTTTCTTTTAGATTCCTCTTGGAGGTCCAAACTGTACTGAGGTGAGAAGCTGAAATTGCCTAGCACAAGTGTATCAAACAGATTCAACAAATGGTAACAGCTCTCCTCACCTCGTTATTGCTGTAAAGTGGGAAAGATGCGAGGAATTTCTTTCAACATGAAAGGTACTCAAGCGAAGTTTTCTACACTCAGTATATAAAGACAAAGGAAGTAGTAGAGGGACACTGACTTTTAAAAGTGGGGCTATTGATATTCATACTTATTGTATGGAGTAACTAAAAGCTGTGCTGGTAGTATTGGTGGGTTCTCTAGAAGACACCCTCAGTAAGGGGACTCAATACCTCTCCAGTTGGTGACAAGCATGGATCAGTCTCTGCCTTCCCAGGCTGTCCTCAGAATAGAGCTCAGTAAAGAAGACATGATATACCTGCTGCAAAAAGCATAGTAGATAGGTTCTTTTTTTGCAAAAGAACCACACTTCAAAAAGATGCCCAGGCTACAGGATAGCCTGTGTATATCTTCAGCACTGAGCATGTACATGTCTGTCCTTACCCTACTTCTCACCCATAGACCTGAAGAGTAACTGTAGAAGAGGTCAGAACCACAGCATCCTGAGCTAAGCAGAGAGACTAGAGGCTCCGTGCTCCATCCTAATCTGTTGTGCCAAAGACAAGATGCCCTCTGCTGTGGTTTCAGTGTGTCTCCTAAACTCCACATATTAGAAGCTTAATTAGTGGTACAGTGTGTTGAGAGGTGGGGTCTTTAAGACGTGACAAAGTCAGCTGCCCTCAGGAACTCAGCAGCTCTGGGTGTGTGCACGAGATCAAGCCAGTCGGCATTCTAGCAGGAAGCAGGCAGGTCCCTAGCAGCCCTCACCCCTAACTGAGGCGCTATTGATGGTGGATAGTTTCTAGGGGAGGGAGAGTTAGTGTTTCAAGGGTGTGGCCCCTGGTGGCTGGACCTTACTTCTCTGGATGGACCCACACTCAGGAGTATATGGTCAGCACCAATTGGACTTACTGGGTTATTAAAAGGAAAAAAAGAGGGTATGGAATTGGGAGGGGGTGGCAAGTTGAGTGAGTGGACCTGACAGGAGTTGGGGGTAAATAGAATCAAAATATATTTCATGACATTCTCAAAGTATAAAAATACAATGTTAAAAACAATTAACAATGTCGTTGGAGTTTTGCTCCCATCTATTCATGCGATTATCACAGAGTGGGTGAGCCATCCTGGAAGTGGATTTCTCACAAGGGGAGTAGGAAAGCCACTTCCTCTTTCTTCTCCCTCTATCGACCCTCTCACCTTCTGCCTTGGGCTGGCACAAGAAAGCCCTTGCCAGGCCATGGCGCCTTGGTGTCAGACTTCTAAGCCTCAGTGTTGATAAGAAAATTTCTTCTCTTTATAAATCTTATAGCAACACAAACTAGACAAAGAGAGCCCTCTGTACTTTGGCCCAGCGTTTCCAGTGACCAGGATGTTGTACAGGGGCAGGGGTGTGCTTCCCAGGATCTGTCAGCGGCATGCACATATTTCCTGCCTGCCCTAGGCGGCATTTCTGAGCCTAAGAGGACTGGCTGGCATGACTCTCATCTTTTCTGGCTGCCCATTTGGTGGGTAACCAATCAGTTTTTATGTGACTGGCTGCCTGGGAGTGTATTCTGTCTCAGAGAAGTCGGTGGGCAGTGAGCCTGCTTCACACGGGTATTATAATACCACTCCGTTTGGTGTCTGGATATTGAGTGAATTATGAGACATCTTGACACTTCTCATAATTGTGAGCATATGGACTCACAGGTACTCACACCAAGAGTCGGATTCAGTTACTTTGGTCATTAACACGGTTTATTATTGGCACACTTACCAGTAAAGCATACATAAAATACAGCTGTTTTATGACACACGGAGCCACTGTGTCTTTACATGTATAGAGGAACATATTAATATGCAAATGAAAAAATTAGTTCTCTTATAAAGCTTCACATAAATACACTGAACTTGCCCCAAAAGAAAAGTTCCCATGAGAGAACCAGGTGAAGGATTTACAAAATATTATACAAGAACTATAGCATGAAAAAAAAAACCAACCACCAACTCAGTTACAATTAAAAAAAGAAGAAATACAAAAAGTTTCAGATTTATTAAGCTTTCCACAAAATTAATGGATTACATGGCTTGAAAATATTTGGACCCACAGCGAGTTCACAAATGCATACACTTCCCAGGGTCCATTTGTCTCTGTGTACATAGTAAAATCTACCCATATATCTTTGAGGATTCCTTGTTTCAGTACTTGGCCTAAACTGAAACAACTCAGACTCAAGAACCAATTAGGGTCAGCTTGCCAGAAACTCACCTAGCTGTGTCTTCTTGGGCTCTTGCCACGTGGAAAACCAATGGAAAGTGAGGGGGGGGGGGAATACGTTTAAATTACTTTCCCAAAACAGATTTTCTTTTCTTTTTCTTTTTTTACTGAAACAAGAAACTCTCAAATGCAAGTCAAAAAGCAGAAAATATTTTACAATATTAAAAAGTCATCTCTAGTTGGGGGTCAGCATGTGACTGTGATCCTGAGCACGTTCGGACAGCGTGGCCTTCGGTAGGTGCGTGGACAGGAAGTTGAACACAAAGAGGGAGGGAAGACCATGCTAGGAGGTGCGATAGCCTCTGCTGCTGCCAATTACCGCCAGGGACAGTGTCTGTACTTGGTGTGAAGACCTCCAAGGAGAGGCCACGGAGGCTCATTTGAACAATCCTCTCAATTAAAAAAACGAAAAAAAAATCGCAAGAAAGAAAACCAGGTCGTTATGTTTAGAAATAGGTTTTTGCATGGAAACGTTTTGTTTGTGTGGGTTTAAATTTCACCTCTTTCCTCTCCTGATAGAGATTTGCGACTGGAATTCTACCCCACTGGGCCTATGGGACAGTGGAATCAGGCGCCGGGCAGGCCCATCTTACTGGGAAGCCTGGGGTGGGGGGTTTTCTGATTTGGTCTCTTGCGTGGCGGGAGGTTTACTGTTCCACGGGCTGTTGTTCCCCAGGGCAGGTGAATTGTTGAAGTCTTCCTCGTCGTCCATGCCGTTGGCCGCATCATACTGCGTGTTTTCTAATCTAGTGATTAGCCTTTCGTCCTCGTCCCCAAACTCACCTCCCATCAGAGTTGGCTCTCCTACCACCATCACATCCTGTGAACAGCAGCTGACATTATTACAGGGAAACCTTAGGGGAGAGAAGCTCAGCTTAAAACAACACCGGGAGGCGCTCGGGGGACCTAGGACAGACACACTTGTGTGCGCTGTACAACCGGGTCAAGTCTCAATGTCGGGGGGGCCGAGACGCAAATTGGATTTCTACAGGAAATAAACATAGCCTCCTGATGTGTAACAACCACGCGAGTTTATGTCCTTAGTGCGCAGCCTGACACCGGAGAACGAGCAATGCTAGCAATCTGCAGAAATAAAAAAATGGATTTTTCAAAATTAAAAAAATCCACGCTTGGAACTTGCTGACCCGGGGCACTTCTGAGTGGGCAATAGAACCTTTTTTGACAATACCTTTTTTTCAAAAATCGCCACTTTCACTGAGGGCTGGTGAGTGGCCCTGTCATCTTGCAGAGAGCTGGGACACACGGATACAGTAAGGTACCTTCCTACAATACCCACACAACTCATTCCGAATGGTATTCTCGGTCCCCAGGACGATACACATTTTAATTGAAGACAGAATCCCTCTCTTTTCTACTCTGCCAGGTCCTTTTATGCAGCCAATATCCTTGACATTCTGCTACTTAATTATGGTAATTAATTTAGGTAAAGTTTTCGATAAAAACAATGTTCACACTGATTTGACAATTTGCATAGCTAATTAAGTCATTAGCAAAAACCTGCTGATTGCCAACAAGCCCTGAATTTACCATCTGTTATTTCATGGTGCCTGTCACCTATCTCCACACAGGCAACCCTGCTACCAATCTGGGCAGTAAAGAGAACCAGTCCGTCCAGCTGGTCCCATAAAAGAAAGATGAAGAGTGAGCTAATTATAATTACACCGATGGAGCTGGCAGTCATTAGGGATGGGGACGAGCGAGAAGAATCTGAGTAATCACTCCTTTAAGTACAAATTGTCCTTCCATGCAAACAAGAAAGCTACCTACTGGAGCTGGGAGCTCCTGGAGAAGCCACAGCTGGAGCAGCCTGGGCCTTGGGTAGGGGCAGGGCTACACACAAGACACAGCTCCAGCGTCTTTGTTCAAAGGGGATTGATTATATAGGAATGTGACCCAGGTGTGGAGCAGGCTAGCTTTCTTCTGGGTAGGACCCAAGCAGCATTTTACTTAAAGGCTCAAGGCTTGAGGAGGGCATGTTACTCTCAGCCTCCAGGAAGCAACAAAAAGTTTTGCTAGGCCAGCAGCATTGGAGTGATGGGCGTGCGGCTCTTTGCAGCAAAGTTAATTCAGTAAAACGTTTGACCCCTGGGCATTTTTTTCTAAAACCTTGGGGAGCTTTGCCTAGCCTCTGGAAAAGGGAGCAACGTTCTCCGATACCATCTAGAACTATGAAGGTGTCCCTTGAACAAACCTTGTCTATTCCAGGATGGAAAACCCTGTTTTGATTATTCCTCCCCTGCATCCTTCTTTATTTGGATGAGATGATTTCCCACACTATGTTTTTTGACTAGTCATTCTTGTGAACTGGTAGGTTTTTTTTTTTTTTTTAAAAAAAGGAGAAATGGCCCAGGTGAAGTAAATACATGAAATGTGAACTTGGTACTCAGCAATAGAGGTACTGCTAAGGGTACTGGTCAGATACTGAACTGGGTGCTTCCAAGAGTGTTCGCTAGGCAACGATGAGCCAGAAGTTGACACTGGCATGTAAGGAGACTCATGAGGACTCTTAAGATGAGATGCAGAATAGGCACTGCCTTTCTGACTGGGAAGAAGGGCCCTGTGGTTTTAAATGGAATGTAGACACTGCACAGACAGGTGAACATTATTCAATTAGCAGAGGCTGGCTACCATTTCACTCATGGCAGTCCGAGGGTAAGAGTGACACTTAGGTAAAGGCAATTAGGAGGCTGTACTTATTATGATGAAGAACAAAAAAAGTGGCAGAAAGGACAGGAAGGGAAAGATTGGCAGAGCTCAGCGTGAGGATTAATGAACACACTTGGATGGACAGACGTGGGGGACATGCATTGCGTGTCGCCGGGCAGGAGAGGACCATAGAACCAACCATGTGGGTCTGTGTTAGTACTGTGATTCCAAAGCCATCGAGAGAAGCTGCAAGAATAAGGAGAAGCAAAGGAGGTCTGGGAAGCAGAGGGGAAATGGAAGAAGTGGCTGGTTTCAGCGTGTCTTTAGAAGGAAAGTCCCCAGCACTGCAGATGTGTTCTCTGCATTAGAAAATGACATCCATGCAAGAAAAAAAACCAATAGGCATGTAGTGGTTTGAGTATCTCCAGGGGGGGGCTCTAGCATAGGCTTGTAATATGTGGAGAACCCCACCTTATCCCCACACACCAGAAAAAGCTGGAAAAGATGCCCAGGTGTACGTGTTTGTAAATGCGCTGTGTTTCAGAGAACTGCTACATTGGCTTTGGTGGTTCTTCTAAAAGTATTCTTAATTAGAAGCATAACTCTGTGTGTGTGTGCATGTACGTGCACGCATGCACGTGTGCATGTGTGCTGTGCATGAGTGCATGTGGTTTAGTTGACCGACAGGTGACTAACGAATAAAAAGAACTTTAGACTTTCTATGCACATGGTGCTGGAGGCCATTTAGAGAGTTCTTTGAACTCTATTTGGTTTCTCTTTGGTTCCTTTCCCACCTTTACAGAAGTACAGTGCTGCTCTTCCCCAGCTGTCTCCGCTTGCTATTGTCACACAAAGTAAGAGGAGATAGGCTGTCCATTCCAGGTTGCTGCTAGCTAGGGGATGTGAAATGCAAGTCCCCACCCCCATGTCCTGGAAATCCCACTTCCGTGGTGAGAGTGACTTTCCTTCCCATGTCCAGCCTCTGTGACACACTGGGGGCCCAGGAATCCACCTGAGAGGAGCCCACATACCCTTGGTTCCCCCATGAGGCTGACCTCTGCTCCTGAGCTGGGAGCTTGGAGGTGCCACCAGCTTTTGCCCATTTCACACCTTCTCACTAATCCCCCGTGCAAGGACCACCAACCTCTGAGGAGGACTGGAAGTGACTCCTTTCAGGGCCCCTCAATGCTTCTCCTTAAATTGGCCAGAAGGGGTCACTGCTGTAGAATGACACAGGTCTCCATCCCTCCCAGGGTTGAGGCTGCAGTTCGGGATGGCTCCTAGCCCCTGCTCATGAAGTGAGAAGCAGAATCCAAGGGTTAAACCCTAGTCCTGGCCACACACACGCACACGCGCACACATACACGGTTGCTGCAGGATCTCTGCAGTTCATAGCTGCGGTCACTGGACCAGGCAGCTGATGCCTGCAGATCATTTCTAGTCCAACAATAAGATGATGTTGATTCAGTCAAAAGTGCTTAGAAAGATGTGGTCACTCTTGCTTAAAACCCATTGGACCTGAAGACACTTAAGAGTCTGTGCATGTTCTTAACTTGACTTTCTTCCTGCTTCTCCCAGTCATCTGGAATTTCTATTTCATGACAATACCTTAAAATGCATGGTACAGGAACACCGCTGGCATTCGTCTCTCTATTTAGTGATGCCTTGTGCACACAAAATCCACACTCGTGAGAACTACCCCAACGTATTTCTTGGTTTAGAGAATAGGAGGGTCGTGGAGTAGAAAAACTTACAGGCTTGCTAACGTAGAAATGATTCCACTCACACAGGTAGGCTAAAATATATAAGGTACACATTTACTCTCAACTTTTACATCATGGCAGACATCACTAAAGGATGGCCTCCCAAACACTCCCTGCCAGAATTCTTGTCTATGTGGTGTGCTCTGTGAGCCGGCATGAAAGAGGGAACTTCTTGGTCATGCCCAAGTTAAGAAGTGAGTTCTTTAATGACAGGGGCTCTTTGGCCTTGTTTTTAATTTTTTTTTCACCTCGGAGTTGTTAGTCCCCTGCATAGTGTCATATCCAATAGGGTCTTAGAGAATGCTTGAAGAGCTGACCTAAATTCCTTCAGTAGCCATACTTTTCAGCTGCAACGCCCTGGTTCCAGAATTCTCTGGAGCTCCTTTTCTTTGTTTGCTAGAGGATACTAACAAAAGTTAGTTTCCAAACCCAGGACTAGATGAATACACTGGCTGCGTATGTGGGCATTTTCAGTCCATTTTTTTTTAGATGGGAACATTTTCTCTATTCTCCAGTTCCGGTGTAACAGGAACAGGCACTCTTTGGTGCTTTAATAAGAAAACACAGATTTCACTCTGCCAACTTTTCCCCTCTGATCGTCAGGCATGGTGAGTGCAAAGGTCTATTCAGAAAATAAAGGACTGCTTGGAAACACATTGCATTACTTAAGCTTAATAATTCTTAGTGGTCTTAAAACTGAAATAACCTTTCAATACCTGGGGGCTGTTATTTCTACTATCCCCTTCTCTCTAATGCAGTGAACATGGAAACCACACACATGTTTGTGGAAGACAGGAAGAGTTCCAGAAACTCAAGGACTCCCTGAGCACTGGGATTATTTTGTCTAAAGAGAATGGACTGGTAAAAAGTTGGCCGAGGGGCAGATTAGAGAGGCACATTTGCAAGTGGGGAATTTCCAGACACAAGGTTGCTCTTATGGAAAGAGATGAAGCAGGATCAGGAAGAAGCTGGCGAGGACAGCAGCTAGAGAGCGAGTGAAAAGGGTAAGGACGCCACAACATGGAAAGGCGTGTACCTCCAAAGTCACAGAGTCAAGGAAGGGTCAAATGCCTGGTGACAGTCATGAGCATGGGCAGAGAACCCACAAAGAACCATGGCAAGTGGTGGCAGCAGGTGTTCATAAGACAGGAGTATGTGAAAGTGGTAGTCTAACACCGCAATGAGGATTTGGAGGCAGGAAAGGCCATGGTTCAGTTTGAGAAGAATCAACCAGGGATGAAGAAAGCCTTGCAGTCTACTCTCTTCGGACACTACCTTCAAGGCTCAGTTTCAAAGTTTCATCCAGCAGCCCTTGCAAGTGGCCTTTGTCCAGGCCCAGAAATGAAAGGAAGAGGTCAAGGGCCAAAGGAGGTAAGATCAAGCCAGGGGCTGGCTCTGTATGAGCTACGGATCCGCCCGACAGAAGTTTACTGAGCTACACTTTTAGTGGCTGCAAGCTAATTGCCTGGCTCTTAAATACGAGGGAGGCCCATGCTGGGAAGGCCCAGGCAAATTACAGTATGGGGCCGGAGCTCAGGGGACCAGTTTCCAGGGGCATATTGGGTCTCCAAGGCTGCAGTTGAGAGGCCTTAATATGCCACCAGGCATGCTGCTAAGTGATGCTTTAATTAAACCCTGAGTGCCATGTCTCCTGCCAGTGACTCTGATGGCTTTTTAATTCAGGTCCCATCACAGCACGGACTCTTAATATTCCCTCCTAATTCCTCGCTCGCAGGGGACGTTACCATGGTAAGATTCGTACCTCTTGTACCATCCCACCCCGTCCCTGCCGTGCTCCTCCTCCCGCCACCAAACTACTCAGAACCCTTCTTTCTTTTTCCTTTTTCTTTTTTTTTTTTAAGTTCGGAGAGGAATCCCAGCCCCCTGAGTTGGGTGAAGAGAAAGGAAGGCTTCAGGCCTAAGAGCAAAGAGAGACTTACAGGTACCTGACTGGACAGGCTCAGGCTCGCAGCCGGGGCCTTCTTCTTGCTGCCCGCACTGTTGGTGGTATTCCCAGCGCTGCTGTTCGAGGTGCTGCTGGTGGAGTTTTTTCTTTTTCTCCTTTTGGTTGTCGGTTGCCTTGTGGGTTCTGCTGTAATAGGGACAAGGGGAGAGGGTTGGGCTCCAGGGCAATAGTACGAGGCAACCCTAAGTATCGTGTCCTTCCCGTGGCGCTCTTTTCTCCCGTTTGAAAAGGGAGCTATTTAAAATTTCCCCCTTTTTGTGTAATCTAAAAATAACAATAAAAGAAAATGGTTGATTTGTTTCAAAATTTGTGGAACTCTTTTCTTCTGCACATAGTTATGGCATGATTTTTATTTAAATGCTTTGTCTATTTATGTATCTGTGACTCACTTATAGTACTGTAGGAGCAAGCTACAGGTACCATTTTCATAACTGAACTTTAAAATGATTTTTTTTACCAGTAGAAAAGTTAGGAACTAGTCTACTTTTTCTCTTTGTAACAAAGGAAGCAAGGACCTCAGAAGACTCAAGGTGTCAACGAAGTATTAACTCTAGACAGATGCTGGCAAAGTTATGTGCAACACTCGCCCCGTTGTACCCATGTCTCATGGCAACCCCTCTTTCTTACACCTTGATATCCTCGGTTGCCTCAGCCCTGGTGAGACCGGGGCTTTTCAGGTGTGTAGGAACACCCAATAGTTTGTACTCTGGTCTTTAATAAAGGCTATTTATTAACTTGAAGATTATTTGAAAGAATGTTTCAGTATGGTACAACAAGAAAATGAGGGAAACTAGACTTCTTCAAGAAAAGCATATTCAAGCCCGGCGATGTTGGCGCACGCCTTTAATCCCAGCACTCGGGAAGCAGAGGCAGGTGGATCTCTGCGAGTTCGAGACCAGCCTGGTCTACAGAGCTAGTTCCAGGACAGGCTCCAAAGCCACAGAGAAATCCTGTCTCGAAAAACCAAAAAAAAAAAAAAAAAAAAAAAAAAAAAAAAAACAAACACAAAGAATAACAGGCTNGCATATTCAAATAGTGAAAAATATTTGGGCCTTGAATAATGGGACAAACATGATCCATTGTGATGTGTGGTAGGGATTATTAATTTACTTGTGGTCTCTTTTTTTCTGTATTGAGATATGTCCAATGCAGTACCCTCCATATACACATCCATATACACATAATAAATATATCTTTAGAGGGTTTTTCATATTTATGCCCCAGATCATGATGGGATTACTCGTGGCAACCAACCCTTCCCGATGAATGTCTGATCATCCTAGTTTTCCTTTTGAGAGCCCTTCATCCCCAGAATATCTAAGAGCATGTTTACAAAGGTAGTGAAGAACAGGGCATACCTGGCGGTGCCACCATCCGCTGCCACTTCTGAAACAGGCAGGTCTTCAGGCAGTCTCTGGGACTGAGGTTGTAGGTTTTGTGTCTTGACATCAGTTCCTGCATTGGCTCCAGTATTACACACAACTGCAAGGAATTCAGAGTCACCGGTGTTCAGCTACTTGATCATATTAATTACAATAATAATTCTAACAGCTGGAATCCATTAGCCAGCTTAAGGGTTCTTTTTGCTTTTTTTTTTTTTTTTTTTTTTGCTGGTTTCGATTTTCTCTATGTAAGTTTGAAGGGAAAGACTTATAAGCCACACTTGAGTATACCCACTTAATGGAGTATCATTTATAACATGGTGTTACAGCTGAGTGTGATCACACACGCACATGCATGGACGCACGCACGCACACACACACACACACAAACACATATACACTCCTGTACAGACTTAAGGCTGGACACAGTTCTGTAATGAATTCAGCGGCTTCTCCCCGGGTAAAGGCAAAGCCCTCTTCCATGGAGTGCACTGCTCCGATTTCAGCTCTGGCTTCTGGCTGCTCTTCTTGTTTGTGTAACGGCACACTGTGCATGCCGGTGCTGGTTTACACGGGTTATCTGGTGGGGAGATGTATCTTTTAAACTTTGCAGAGCAAGCTGGTGCTTCTTGATGCCAGTTCTCATAAAAGTAGATAATGAACACTAGATGTGTTTTTACTCATATGCTCATTTTTATTTCTATTTCACCCGTGAAGATCGTGTACATGGCACAGGCCTGTAGCCACTCCATGTGGGGGAATTCACTCTGACTCTACATTTGCCACCTTGTCGCATCCTTTACTTAGCTTTTTAGCTTGACTTTGGTCCAAAACATTTGATGACAAAGATTGAATGAAACAAAAAGACAAAGTTAGCTAGGATGACCACAGACTCTTGGATTCCTTTGGTGGCAGGCATGTCAGGACACCACAGTACTGAGAGCACCGTACCTATTAGGACAAAGCCTGTGACTTGGAATGAACTATCCATAAGACTTGGGGGCTACAGTGATGCAAATATTAGCATATGCCTGCCCCTGTGCAAATCATGCTTGCCTTAGGGAAGGCATATGCTTTCCTCTGGCCTTTTCCCCTATCAACCCTCACCTGCAGCACATCCCCCTCGGAGGTGTTCTGCTCCCTGAGTCTTGTTACCTCCTCCTTCTGGCCAATGTCTGCCCCATCCTTGAAGATACAGAGAAGGCTGCTTGCTGTGCCCCCTACATCTCCCGGTGTAAGCTGCAGTGGTGTCCCTTTGAATCTCCCATTGCATCCAGCCTTTGCTGCCTCACAGACTTCCGCTGCCTTCGAAGTCTCCTTTCCACTGTGTTAGCGATTCTTGGAATGCGGACACTTTGCCTTTTACCTCCATGTCCCAGTTTTGGCTCCAAAGAACAGATGCATTTAAGGAGCAATTCTTCAAAAGACCACAAGACAGTTTCAGGCCCAGAGAGCAGTCTAAGGAATGCATCCATTAGAACACAGCCTTTCATGCCCAGTCCCTTCTCCTCACATAGTCTGCACGTGCGGCCCTGAATACGTGTTTTAAAACCCCTTACTTGCATAAGATTCTATAACTTACTCCTAGAGTTTCAGGTCCTCTGCCCCAGAGTCTGGGCTTCCCAAGGAAATCCTCTGCCATGTTTACAGTTAATGTCCAATTCCTTTCTCATTTCTTCTACCTTCCCAAGTTTTCCCCTAAGTCTAATCAGAATCAAGAAGAACATTACCTAGAAAGATTTCACTTGCTAATGACAGGTTTGCTAAATTCACTAACTTTTTGGGAAAAGGGAGGTTTGAAAAATTTTAATATTTATTTTTATTAATTTAATATACATTAGGGTTTTGCCTGCATGTAATTCTGTATGAGGGTGTCAGATACCCAAGAATTGGAGTTACAGACAGTTGTGAACTGCCATGTGGGTGCTGGGAATTGAACCTGGGTACTTTGGAAAAGCAGCCAATGCTCTTAACTGCTGAGCCATCTCTCCAGCCCCAAGAGAGGAGATTTTGAAGCCTGAGCAACGCACATACTATGTCTAGCACAGAAATGACAAACCCTTCCTCCTGGCTCTTGAATGACCACCATTATAGATCCCAGAAGTAATATGGATTTGCTTGTTAGATCTTCATTCTGCAGACCTTCATACTTAATTTAGGCCCCCTTTGAAATCTAAAATGCCAGAAAAGAGCAGTCATCAAAAGGGACAGGACTCTCTTGCACTCAGCTCTTTAGTCCAACATGGTGAGGGCTCTGTGTGTGCCTTTTCCTATGCAGAACACCGCTGGGACAGATGCCACAATGGTCTCTACTGACAGATCTGAGAACCAATCACCCCTCAGAGCAGAGCCAGGTCACATTCAGGCAGACTCCAAGACATTTAGAGCCATGATTATGGCAAGAGAGTCAGAGAAATCCCAGAGAGTAGGAAGCAGTTTTTATAAATAAAAGGTAATAAAAGGGAAATATTTTCAGATCACTTCTTTCCATTCATCTCTTTCGGCTGTCCATGCAGTCATGACGACTGTGAAAGTCCAGGTGAGCGGAACACGCCGGGAAGTCTCAGTACGGGCTCTGACTGTCATCAGGTGTCTGTCCTTGCCACGCGGCTAAACAGCTCTGCAGAACACACACCCGCCCTGTACTGTGAGAGCCTGAGCTAAAGTGTCTCTCACACAAGCTTCAGTGCTGCAAGTGTGGTGACATGCCTGTTAGGAAGCACAGCACGGACAGCAAACGCCACACCTCATCTCTTGACATCAACACACATTCATTGAGCTTCGCACTAGGCTTTTGTGTTGGGGACACAAAGAATGAGAATTACCTTCTGCCCTTCAGGAACACATTGTCCCCTTAGAAATGATTTAAACAGCTTAAGAAATCTACCCTGGGCTCACAGTTCAAGTGTCCCATGAAATCACCTCCTTTTGACAAAACTATTTTTCATTACATGACAGGCCGGATGACAAAGACGACCTGCTTGGACCCAGGAAGAACTACTAGCATCCAGCAGGGTATGGGGTGGGAGAGCTACACTCACAGAACCGTGAACTCATGTTCTTTTACCCTGCCTCTCCTCTCTGGATATTGGGATTTTTTTTTCCCAGAAGCTAATCCTTAGAAAATTTCTCTCTTCCACTTTAATGGGAAAATATCTTTCTATCATAGTAACCCATCCCAAAAGAGCATGTATCTTTTGCATGCTAATCAAGAATCCGCACAGTGGAGAGGTCCTGGGCTGGAAAGGCAGGTCCACCCCTTTATTCATGTATGTAGATAAGGCATCAAGTCTGCTGTGCTGATGCAGAGGCTTTGCAGGGCTGTGTGCTGTAGGTGGCAGAACTATCTCAGATAAGAGCCGGTCTCCTAAGCAGTGAGGCATCACATCCTGTCAGCAAAAAGCCCCACAACTGTTACAACATAAAATAAGGAAGAGGGATGGGGACGGAGGTTTCTGTTGGACCTAACCAGTTCTTGGAGTTACAATCCATGCTCTTTCTGATGTTTTAGAACATCTTGAGAATGCTGCTTGGAAGTTGTTGAATCCATCATAGTTCCACCCACTGATTCGAGCTGAGCATTCTTCTTTTTATAAGTATGAGCCAGACCACATGGCTTGTTTTTCCTATGCTGCATGCATGCAGACATGCACATGTGCATGCATGCACACACACGTGAATGGATTGAACTCAACATAATAATACACGATCATTGATTTGGAAGAATAGTTTTATAGCGAAATTACACCTGCTCCCAAGTTCCCAGTGTGTAAAAAGAAAGGTAACAGCCAACATGTCTGTAGCAACATCTGCAGCAGTATGCATGCAGGGCTGTAGTTTAAGTTTTCATTCTACAGTGGTACTGGACAGTATCTTTTGGAATCTCGGGCTGCTGTGGAAAGGGTAGGAGCAGCAAGGCTCAAGAGGAGACTGGGCCTTGAATATATGTGAATATGAAACCTTTCAAGATGTGTGGCTGCCTAGGTCAGTTAGCACCCTAGATAAGGTCACTGTCTATCTTCAAAAGGTTTAAAGGATGCCACTTGACAGATTTCGAGAGAGGGTAGGCTAGGCTTGCTCTGCATGCTTCTATTCTGACTTCGTGGGGTCCTGACATGGGGATTTGCTGAGTGAACAGATGCATGGATGGATGGGCCACGCAGTGAAGCCAGATTAACAGCAAAGAGTCATTTGTCAGTAGAAGACAAATCAGGCACAGTCCTGTGGGCTTAGAAGTGATCAATCTAGTCATCCAATAAATGACTGATTGCTCCTTCAGTGCAGAACGCCGGACCCAGATGCACGTGTCTATGCAGGCTGGGCAGGGAGCATCTGGGTGATTCTCAAGATTCCTGCAATTTCATATTAGCAGAGAGCCTAGCAAATGTCGATAGCATGCTTCTTTTTCATCTAATAATTTTCCCGGAGGATTCTGATTATTCAGCTGCACATTCGCCCTCGTCTGCAGAGTTGAAGAAATAAGTGGCACTTGTCAGTGTTGGCCTTGAACTACAACGAAGCTGCCGTCCTGGAGTCAGTATGTGGTTGCTACTATCTGCCACCAGCATTTCAATCTTATCCTTTTGTAAACATGTATATTTGGGCTATGTGTGTGTGTGTGTGTGTATACACAGTGTGTGTGTGTGTCTGTGGGTGAGTGCAGGTGTAATTTGTGCTGCACTATGGCCCATCTGTAGACATCGGAGGACAACCTCAGGTTTAAGTTCTCCCCTCCCATTTTTATTTGAAGCATGATCTCTCTCTGCATTGTTGGCTGCTGCCTATGACATGCCAGTTGGTTCGTGAGCTCGTCTCCCATTTCGTCATAAGAGCACTGGACTTCAATTAATTAATTAATTTCTGTGTGCGCCTGTGTTTGTGTTGTGAGCACTGTACTCGTGCGGCCATCAGAAAACAGCTTGTTTGGTTGGTTATCTCTTTTTGTCAGCTGGGTCAGTAGCAAGCAACTTTGCCCATTAACTTATCTCACTGGCCCCATACTGAGTTTTTCTTTTTAATGTGAGTGTTGGGGATCAAACTCAAGTCCTTCCATTTGTATGGCAAGTGAGTTACCCACTGAGCCAGCACCCTAGCTTCTAT